GATTTTCGCCACAAAGATCCAAAAACTCCGAAGCGCAGCGCACTCTTTCCTGTCTCTGTACCGCTGAAAGAAGTTTCGGTACCCATCTTGCACTCACTTTTTTCATGTGAAGATGTTCATGGATCGCGCGATGAACGGTACTCTTAGAGAGCCCAAGCCTTGCTGCAATTTCTCTAATCTTCAAACGGCGGTCACTCAGAACCTCCTCTTCGATAAGAGCAATCGTTTCAGGAGTGAGCACTTCCACAGGTCGACCGTCGTGGCCAAAGTCTTCGACGGTTTCTCTCCCGAGGCGAAACTCTTTCACCCAATTTTTCACTGTGCTATAGGAGGGAGCAGACTCCTTATACACGCCATCCAATCGTTCTTTTATTTGGGCAGGGGATAAACCTTCTTTAAACAGAAACTTTATGACACTTCGATACTCAGTTTTCGACATTTTGAAAAAATACGCGACTCTCGTTATTCAAATGCCTGTTAAACTAAGACTAAGCATTTCATGTCGATGCATGTTTCTTATATTAAGTGCACGATAAACGTACTATTTAATGCAACACAACATGTAGCGACATGTCGCGTTGAACTATATCAGGCCAGTTCATTATGGGACCGCCTGGTATATCAATAATATAAGTAGAAATATCAATAGTGTATTCCCATTATTATCCGACGATTTAAAGTGATGCGATTTTATGTATTAAGTGTCTCCGCATGTGTTTCATTAGTGGAAACAACTAAACAAGTGTTCCGATGTTAATTAATATAAACCAGAGCTCGGAAACGTTATTAGAAATAACGTTTTTAAAACGTTTGGGACGGTTCCTTGTACAACATTTTGTTCGGAACAAAAAAGAAATGAGAACGTAATGTGAAAACGTAAAAAACGGTTTATTCAGCAGGAAGCTAAATGAATGGCCCGTGCCACGACAAGTTTAAACCTATAAGGTATTTTTGTTTCATGTTGCAGGCCCAAAAAATGGGAAAAAAACTGTTTAAAATGGTTAATAACATTTTATTGAACAAGAACGATTTAAAATTTCGTTCTCTTAATAAAAGTTTTTATTATGATTCCGTTCGAACATAAACGAAACAAATAAGTTTTTAGGTATTTAAGGCGAAAGAAAACGTTTCGAAAAATATACCGTTATTCGAGCCCTGATATAAACCTCAATTTTGTTCGCTTAGGCACCTCCAGAAATTGAGGTACTGTCATCATTGATTGTCCGTTGGATTAAGCTGCCTCCAAAATTTCCCTAAGCCTTCGCAATGTGAAGCATCGGCATATGCTGATGCATAATATTATGAAGAAGTTTTTCAAACAAAATATTTGAATGGATAATTTCTTATTACTTGACACTGTCAAAAGTATAACCGTACGAGACCTATCATCATTAAAACTCTTCACAAGTTCACAGTACACAGGCCTCAACCAAGGAATGCCACAAAGCATGGTCTTGAGCCACCTGCATCCTACCACTTCCTGCTTGTGTCACCAGGCCGTCACTACATCTAAAGGGGGGTCGCCCTACACTTCGCCTACCGGTACGAGGCTGCCACTAGAGTCCTTTTTTCCCATCGGTTGTCGGTTCCTCGAACTATATGGCCGGCCCATTGTCACTTCAGCTTTCTAATCTGTTGGGCTATGTCGGTCACTCTGGTTCTACTGCGGATATCCTCATTTCTAAGTTTATGACGCAGAGAAACTCCGAGCATAGTCCACTCTATAACACGCTGAGCGACCTTGATCTTCCTCATACGGCCATCGATAAAGGACAACGTCTTAGATCCATAAGTCATCACTGGCAACACGCACTGGTGGTACAATCTCGTTTTCAAGTTTTGAGGTACACCTGATGGGAAGATGTGTCGTAATTACCCGAACGCTGCTCAACCGAGTTGAATCCGTTGACTGACCTCTCGGTCGATGTTGGACTTACCTAGTCGGACATTTGTCCCAGGTGAGCATACTCGTCAACAACTTTGACCTTAGTGCTTCCAACAACTACCGACATAGGTGTGACATGGATGTTACACATGAGCTTTGTATGAGCAAACAATTCCACAGAGAAGATGTACGAGGAAGAAAACTCCTAGTAAAACGCACAGTCGTGAACCGCCAAGCACCCAGACGGTGAGGATGGTATCGTGAATTTTGACGCGATGTGCGGTCGTGAAATTACGCTGCTGTAATTAATCCGAACAATCCCTCAGAGCACTTCCCGTGGTAAATTCCGATCAGAAAGAACTCGGTCGTCGACGATTCGAACCGATCTGCGCTGGATGCGGTCAAGTGGAAGGAGCTGGCACTGGGGTGCCCGGGCCCAGAGATGAGAACAGTATTCCATGTGAGGCCGAACTTGCGCTTTGTAAAGTTGCAAACGATGTGCCGGCATGAAAAACTGTCTCGCACGCCAAGCTTTTTAGAGGCCAATTTGGCCTTCCCTTCCAAGTGACCACGAAACTGCACAGTATTCGATATGTCGACGCCAGGAGATACGACAAAGGGGTTCTTTTTAGCTTGTGTTTTCTGGGGATTGAACTGGACTAAATTTAGGCGCCCCCAATCCGAGACTGTTCAGCAAAGACTCGACTTCAGACACAAGTTTGTCCCGGTACTCAGCGACATTTTCCCGAGAAATATGGGCACGGCCGGTATATAAGGCATCACCAGTGCTGTCGTCTGCATAGCAATGAATGTTACTGGTTTGCAACATATCATTAATATGCAGGAGAAACAGCGTTGGTGATAGTACGCAGTCTTGTGGAACACCAGCGTTGATAGGCTTGAAATCAGAGCATGCACCGTCTACTACGACCTTGATGCTCCGATCAGCAAGGAAACTGGTGAAACCAATTGCACAATTTCTCGGGAAGCCCATAGGAAGGAAGCTTTGAAACAAGCGCTTTGTGACAGACCCGATCGGAGGCCTTCGCTATGTCCAAACTAACGGCCAGTGCCTCCCCCTTGGACTCCACTGCCTCCGCCCATCTATGAATCAGGTAGACCAGAAGATCACCAGCTGATCGAACCCGACGAAAACCGTACTGGCGTTCACTAATCAGCTGGTGATCCTCAAGGTACCTCATGAGTTTATAATGGATTCCATTATTTTGGAGAACAAGGTGATGGCGATAGGCCTGTTGTTGGACGGGTCCGAGCGGTCACCTTTTTTAGGGATCGGGTGGACCAAAGCTGTCTTCCATGAATTTGGGACTACGCCTTGGGAGTAGGAGTACCGGAAAAGACGCGTTAAAACCGGTGCCAACCCCAGAGCACACGTCTTCAGCACAATGGGAGGGACTTCATCAGGCCAACTCGACTTGCTGACGTTCAGAGAGAAGAGTGCTTTGCGAACCGAGCGCTGTGTAAACCGCACATCCAGCATGGAGGACTCACACCACGGCATGGTCGGCGGTGTGTTCCCCCGTCATCTAGAGTCGAGTTGGACGCAAAGAGAGAGCTTAACAGATCGGCTTTCTCGTTTGCGGCATGGGCCAGTCAGTCGTCCTCTCTGTGCAGAGATGGAAGAGATGGCTGACAGAAGTTGCCTTGGACAGCCTTGGCGAGAGACCAGAATGCCCGGTTCCCGAAGGAAAGCGAACTAGCTCCTCGCCTAATCTGCCGATGTACTCAGACCTTGCCTTGGCAATGACGCTTTTGAAGGATCTGGAGACGGAATTATACTTCTTTTTAAGAGCGCTGGTGTTTACATCCCGAGACGTTGATGCGTCAGCCCAGGACCGGTAGCCCTCCTGCTTAAAGCGAGCTGTTATTTTACAGGAGCGACCAAACCATGGCTGGGATCTGCTTCCGATGGGCACCACAGAGAATGGAATAAAAAGTTCCATATCTTGAAGTACCACATCAGCAACAACGCTGGGATCTTCCAGCTAGGAGCAAACCCGCCCCCAAGGGTAGGATGCAAAAAAAGACCGCATCCCATCTCAATCGGCCGGCCTATAGTGCCAAACACGGCGGCAAGCTGCAGATCGCAACTGCGATGGGAGCGTGAGTGGTACCGTACTCTGGATCAAACAATGATCCGAAGAGACCAGAGAGGCATCGACGGAGACCTGATATCCGTCCGGATGAGAGGTCAGCAGAAAGTCCAACAGGGAAGGTACATGATCCTCCACATCTGGGATCCGCATAGGCAAAGTAACCAGTTTTGTTAGATCATATGCCAAGGCAAAGTCATAGACAGATCTAACCGCATGATCGGTTAAACGAGAACCAAGCCATCCAGCGTGGTGGGCGTTAAAATCACCAAGTGTCACGATCTCTGCGGATGGGCCCTGTTGTAGCACAGAGTCTGCAGCCATTTGGATGTGGTCGATGAGGTCTGTGTTGGCATTACCGCTATGGGACCTATAGAGGCACCCGTAGATGCGGGGATGGTCGTCGCTGTCTACGTGCAGCCATAGGACGGACAGGTCTGTACCTGCAAGACTGCCGAGACGTCGAAAACAGATGTCCTCTCTGAGGTATACAAAAACTCCAGCCCGGGGCACAAAGGTATGTTCTAATTTGTACCCCAGATAGGAGAGATATGAAGTATCAGCCGGAGAGGACACCTGAGTCTTGGTTAAAAAGATCAAGGCCGGCTTTGCCTCTAGATGGTAATGGACAGCATTAAGGGTGGAATGAAGTCTCCTGATGTTGCGAAAATTCACGCATAGGGGTCACCTTGGTGTTATTGATCCGCTTGCCCCGAACAGTATTACTCGCGAGTGGAATTTTGCCCCACCCCTCCCCCAGAATATGCGCGGCAGCCTTAGCTCCCACGCTCAGAAGTGGAGTAGTTTGGTCATAGATGCTCAGCGAGAGATTCTCCAGGGGTGCTGGTACCCTCCTGGGATAGTCCAAGCGCAACGCTGGTATTCTGTGAGGTTGTGGTACCACCCCAGTTCGAGTCGGCCCATCTACAGCAAAAGCTGCCGCGTGGATTTACCACTGTTAAAATTACCAAGATATTTTTTTAACATTTAAAATGACTAACCTGGAACTGGTGTTTCTCCATTTTTGAGGCAATTATGGATATAAGCTGCCTTCCATTTAGCATACTTTCTATTCTGTGCAGCTTCATCAGTTAGTTCGCCAAATGTTGTTAGGACATCATATATCATTCCAGCTGTATAAAAAGCTTTGACAACATTTCTAAAACATTAGTGTTTACATAATCACAGATCAAAAAAATATATAATGCAACGAAATAAACAGCTAAAGAAGTTACTGGAAAAAATTACAAATAAATCGTGGTGTTTGCATATGTGGAAATTATGTATGTGTAACAATTTTTGCAAACAATTGGCGTATTTGCACATAAACAGACTACAATAAGTGTCATTAGATCTGTCACATTTATTTACACACATATTAAATCAATCCGAAAGTAAAAAATATACTTTCAGCATATTTTTTCTATATTCTTCAAAAGTCAGCAAAATGATTAAGCGAACCTTGGGAGTATTATGTTATGGACTTTATAAAAAAGGGAAACTGAGTCAAATTAATAACATATGGCATAAACATTGTGGTCATACTGCCATGTTCAGCAGCCATATTATCACAAGATTAAATTGGATGAAGAGTCCTCTTAAGCTTAACCATAATTAGTTAGATATTTATTTCTCATACATACTTTCCATAATTTTGCTCCCTATCTTGTTTGTCTGCATATAGAAAAAGTTTAAGGGCGTAATTTTCAAGATGTGCTTGTGCTGCAACTTCATTAGTGATGGCATCATTTTCCTTATGTGCTGTCTTTTGTTCTTCTAACCAGTCCATTAATCCTAAAGTAAAAATTAAATTTACATAACATTCATCTTTCTTAAATATGGCCAGTGAATCCAAAAAAAAAAACTGTTTCAACTTTGAATAGAATAAATTTTATGGCATTTATCAACTTTTTGATTCTCAACATTTTGGGTGCTTTACAGGACTGTGTGTCACAGTTAACCCAGGGGCTGCCTTCAGATTTTTGTTTTATTGAATATGTACCTTTTGCATAAATGTAAGATATCATTAGCTTCATAGTATTATATGCATAATATATAAAAGGGTTGCATGTTTTGAAGCTAATTAGAAGAATACCTATAAATTACCACAGCTATTTGAGTTTCTCGCTTTTTTTGCAGTAAGGAAAGCAGATTCTTTTTTTGAATAATTATTACCCCCACACTATAATTTTTTCCAGTATCATGAGCTGTTTTTTACATACATAAATTGCTCCATACGCAGAACTATTATTTGTAGGTAATAAAAATACTTGTTTAGTGCGAAGTTCCAACCTGCAGTTCCGCAGCTCAAACTAGGCATTGCGTTACGGAGTTGTCATAATTCTTTTACAAAAATATTTTAAGGAAAAGTACCCACCCATTAGCATTTTTGTTTCTTCTGGAGTTTTTTTGTTAGTCAGTTTTAGGCCAACTTGCAAGGCATGTAGACGGCACCAATAGGCTACCACAAGATCTCTTGCGTCATGTTCCGAAGCTGTTTTCAAATAATGTTGAATGGATTTTAAGCTTGGTGGACATTCAGGTATATTAACAGGCATCTCGAAATAGCTAAAAATAAAGTTATCGTAAGTAACTCTGACGCAATACTAGCATATTATAATATATAGAATAGAATAGAATAGAATAGAATATTTTTTTATTCAATATACATTACATATGTAATTCTTATTGAAAGTCATTTTTTACTTTACCACTGGTTCGAAAAAACCCTCTGTCCTGGGAAGAACCAGCAAGAAACCCAGCGGGACTTTTTTTTTAAAATAAATTTTACAATATAAATGATTACGAACTATTTACAAAATTTATTTTAGAAACTGCTTGGAAGCGATCACCTCATTCCCAGGGGTTATTATCAACCATGTATTCATTTATACTATAATAACCCTTTTTATACAGTTTCAGCTTAATAAAACATTTAAACTTGGTAATAGAGAGAACCTGTACACTTTCCGGGACCTTGTTGTAATAGCGTATACATTGCCCCAAGAATGAATTACTGACTCTGTGGAGTCGAGAAACTGGTATCACTAGCTTGTGTTTGTTCCTAGTGTTTACAGAATGTATATCACTTCTTTTACTAAAGATATTTTATAAGATACCATTTAAAGGTCTCAAAACATTTTGTTTGTGTGCTCCATTACACAATATTTTACGATTTTAAATAAATACCTACGAAAGTAAATAGCAGGCAGAATGGCAACGTTTCAAATTTTTAAGGATAAAATCTTGCAACAACAAATAAAAATGTTAGATTTATGTATTTGTATTGTCATTTGTCATTTCATTTGACATTCTCAACAGTCAATCTCACTTGTCACTTCTTTTTCTATTATTATTAAGGTTTAGGTGGACTTGGATACTCATCTTTTAAGCAATGTCTTCATTTCATTCAGGATCTTAGTTTATAGATTTTCAGTATCAAGTGATGATAATCCTTTAAAGTACACTGCTTCACAATATGCGGCACATTGTGTTATTTTCGGGAAGTTTTTGACGGCAACTTGCGGCAGCAGAAAGTTGTTGATAGTGCCTTAAGGCGCCTAAGCAGATAGACAACTTATCTTGAGATGCGCATCACCATCGAAGCACTTGTTTCACCGTATCCACTAATAGCACCACTTTTAGATATCATGATCCACTTCAAACCATTATTTAAACAAGAATACAGGGGCACCAATCCGCCCCAGGTCAAGTTCTCGCCAAAGACTCCACTTGTTACTTGTTTGCTTAGAGTAATTACCATAGATATAATATAATATAGATTGGCAATGGAGTGGTTAGAGCGAGACATTGACACTGAAATCTCTGGAATGAACCATACATACACAATAGTGAAACCCGGAGCAAAACCCGTTCTACAGTTACGAAGAAAAACGTAGATAGATTAACGCAACGTCGATTTTTGTTTTATATGATATACCTCATATAAAACAAAAATCGACGTTGTCGCGTTTTTGTAAAAGACATAAGTATTTATTGATACATTTATTTACTATACGACATTATATAAAATTATACATAATTAGAATATATTATATATTTTTATCGATACATTTTAACACACTGTCCTATCTCTATTATTAGTCCCATGGACGTTCACTTCTGCTATCTGCGCCAAACTGGCGAAAATCAAATCGTCTCATTATGTCACGGTGTATAGCCAGTCCAGCGTACTTGTATAATAGAGGTCAGTACTTTTAAGTAGATTAACTTGTAATATGGCCAATATGTAAACTATACAAAGAGCCTACTCCTTTTTAAAAGGCCGGCAACGCATCTGCAATTCCCCTGGTGTTGCGGTTGTTCATGGGCGGCGGTAGTCACTTACCATCAGGTGAGCCGCATGCTCGTTTGCCCCCTCTCCTATAAAAAAAAAAAAAAAAATACAGTGTGTATGTGTAATGCTGCCGAAAACGAAGACAGACGATAGTACTAACGATACCGATAAAAAATTAAAACCATAAATTCTAAATTCCATATGAAGACTAGTCGTAGGCGGTAGCAAAGCTTCCATAGAGGCTGAGAAGCCAGGCTTGCCCTATCAAACTGCTCAATCAATAATATCAACTAATAAAATTATTCGTAAACTGGTTCAAACTATTTCAATTTTCCCGCGCGCTCCTCCACGCAATAGACTGTCAAAATTGATCGTTGCGGTAAAACTACGCGGTAAAAAAAGGAGTTGAGCGATTAGTCGTCTCTCTCGCACACATGGGCTTTTTACCGGGCTTTCGAGAAGACGGTTGCTTCCTTTCTAACCTGTGGCAAAATGTTCTATCCATACTTCCATACTTACTAATATTATAAATGCGAAAGTGTGTTTGTTTGTTTGTTTGTCCTTCTTTCACGTCGCAACAGAGCGTCGGCATGGCATGATTTTTTGTATGGGGATAGTTCGGTGGCTGTAGAGTGACATAGGTTACTTTTTTCCGCAGAAAAACATCTCATTCCCGTGGGAAAATAGAATATGTTGCAAAAGTTTGTCCTTCTTTCACTTCGCAACAGAGCGTCGGCATGGCATGAATTTTGGTATGGGGATAGTTCGGTGGCTGCAGAGTGACATAGGCTACTTTCCGCGGAAAAACATCTCATTCTCGTGGGAAAATCGATTATGTTGCAAAATTAAATTCAGCTAGGTGGCGCCACCGTGATTCTACAAGACGGACGACGGTACGATGGATGAACGCAGAAGGTCAGAATATCTGGATTATTATGTCTTTTTACCAAAATTAAGATAAAAAATGTATGGATCTGTATTTTTCCACACAGGACCGGGAAGAGAGCGATAAAAAACATAAAATTCACCAGCTGATTTTCTTCAAACGTTTTGGTGCATTGTAATTCACAGAATAGGCGACAACCTCGCAGACGATATTAAGTAATCTGTTGATGCTCTGCCTACCCCGCAAGGGTTACAGGCGTGATGATAAGTATGGATCAGAAATACTATCACCACCTGTCACGCTTTCACCCTTAACTATTACTTAACTGTGGTAGAAACAGTTCTTAGTAAGCCTTATTAATAAGCATTAGTAATATTTATTGAACGGAAATGAATACAGTTCTTATACATATTCTTATATGAGGTTATGAATGAATCGGTATTACAATAAGAAAAATTGTGCAAAATTATAAGAAATATATTTTTTGAGAGTTCTTATTAACTAGCGTATACATAGTTTAAGTTGATTCCGCTAGATGTCGTTACTAGGTTTTTAAAACGCGGTAACGAATTGTTTCCTGACATTTACTTAACTCCCGCCGTTGAGCCGCGCGTCAACTTATAGTGCATACGGTACCTATACGCTTAAATTGTTTCTATTTCGTAGCTTATTCGACTACCTGCTTTCGATTTCAGTTGTTTGTTATTTGCTTTGTGATTTGGTTAAGGTTGAATGGATTTACATTGGCTTTTATTTTCGGATTTGTGTATTTTCTTGGATCGGTTTTGTTGATTTGGTTGGTATTCCTTTCGATTTTGGATTTTGTTTATTTAGAATCGTGAATTGGTTTTCGTTGTTTTAGGTTGTTTAACAATATTTCAAAGGAATATTAATAGTATAGATAGTGTATACGGTACCTATACACTTACTTCTTTTTTCGTTGGTTATATTTATATTGACTACTGCTTTCGATTTCGGTTTTCTGCGATTTGTTTTGTGATTTGGTTTAAGTTGATTCCATTTTTTTGGCTATCGTTTTCGGATTCGTATTGTGTCTTGAATTGGTTTTGATGTTTTGATTTTAAAAAATATTTAAAAGGAATATTTATTCCTTTTAGATATGTTGGATTTGCTTTTAAAAAAAAATATTTAAAAGGAAATTTAATTCCTTTTAGTTATTTTAACGTTTTTCTTATAAGTAGGTTTTTTGTTACTTCATAATGCCTCGCAAACGTAAGTCCAGCCTTTCAAGAGTATCTTCTCAAAGACAAGCGAAAGGGTTAGCTCGATCGCTAGAATCTTTAGAAGGTGCTGAACTGAGAAGGCAAGAACAAGCAGAGCGTCAGGCTGCTTTTAGAGCATCTGAGAAACTTCTCAACGTCAGCAAAGGCATCTTGAACAGACAGAGCGTCAGGCTGCATTAAGAGCTTCCAAAACACCTTCTCAAAGTTAGGAAAGGCGTCTTGAACAGGCAGAGCGTCAAGCTACTTTAAGAGCTTCTGAAATACCTTCTCAAAGTCAGTGAAGGCGTCTTGAACAGGCAGAGCGTCAATCTACTTTAAGAGCTACTGAAACACCTGCTCAAAGTCAGCAAAGGCTATTCGAACAAGCGGAACGTCAGGCCGCCTTAAGAGCCGCGGAAACACCTGATGAAACTCAACACAGACTCATTGAGCAAGCTGAACGTCAATCTATTATAAGGGTATCTGAAACACCAGAACAGACACATGCGCGAAGAGATGCAAATGCACAGCTCCAAGCTGAACGTCGACAAAATTTTCAAAGAAACAATTGGTCGGTTTTTAATGACGCAGCATTCAATTATGATCCGTTGATTGATTATAAAAATCACAGGTTAGTTGTTATCGGACTGATAGACAAGGCGTGTCGATTTTGCAGCGCTTTAAAATGGAAAGATGAGACCGCAGGCATGTGCTGTTCCAATGGCAAAGTGTCTCTTCCGTTACTTGGGGAACCAGAAGAACCTTTGAAAACTGTCTTTTTATATGATGCTAATGAGTCACGGCGCTTTTTAAACAGGATCCGGAAATATAACTCATGCTTTCAAATGACGTCCTTCGGAGTTGACCGGGAAATAATAATGCCGGTATTGCCGCCTACATTTACGGTGCAAGGGCAAATTTATCATAGAATAGGTTCACTTTTTCCAGCTGAAAACGAACATCATAAATTTTTACAAGTATATTTTATGGGTGACGAAGAAATTGAGGTAGACCGTCGCTGTCAATTTATCCAGGGAGTTGAAAGAGACACAGTGTTCAAAATTCAAAGATTCTTGCATGAACGTAACATTTTAGTCAAAACATTTAAAACTGCTTTAGAAAACCTACCTGAAGAGGATTATAAAGTCGTCATTCACGCAGATCGGACCCCTCGAGGAGAGCATGAAAGGCGCTACAATGCACCTTTGATAAACGAAATAGCAGCCGTAATTAGTGGTGATCAATTTTCTTTACGAGACATTGTCTTGCGAGCACGTTACGTACAGTAGCCGATACACACAAGTTTTATGACGCTCTGCAATACCCATTGATTTATTGCAAAGGACAAGAGGGTTATCATTTTCAAATTCCACTCATTAACCCGGTCACAAAGGAGCCTACTCCGAACAAAAAAGTATCATGTACGGATTTTTATGCGTATCATATGATGTTGCGAGAAAATAATTTTAACCTCTTAGCCCGGTGTAAACAATTATTTCATCAATTTTTGGTAGACATGTATGTGAAGGTAGAAAGTGAACGTCTCCGTTATATATCTTTAAATCAAAAAAAGCTGCGCGTTGAGAATTATATACATTTACAAGATGCAGTTTCTAGCGACGCCAATGTAAGCCCCAGAGATTTATGTATAATGGTAATTCTGCTCTCATCATGCGTTAACAGTCCCCGCTACCTACATGAGTACACACAAGACGCAATCACCTATGTACGAACTTACGGAAGACCTGATCTTTTTGTTACTTTTACTTGCAATCCCACATGGAAAGAAATAACCGAGGAGCTAATGCCGGGCCAAAAAAGTACTGACAGTCACGATTTAGTTGCTAGAGTATTTAGATTAAAAGTACAAAAATTAATGTAT